CTTTACGAGGGGCTCGTCATGCACTCATATGTGTCAGGAGTTACAGTTGTATAACGAAAAAATATGTCCCGACAATAAGTCGAGTATACTTCTCGAATTTAATATATGACATTCCATACGACTTAAAAAATACAACTGTGTCTCAAAATAATTAAATTATAAAGATCCGCAAAAAAATGTTATGTTCCCTGAAATATATCAGTACAGTGAAATGGTTGGTGTCTGACAACTTAATGTAAAATATAAAAATATGCTCGTGTTCAAGAATGTTTTGTAACATTTCAGTTGCACATATATTTGTGTATATTGGGATGTCAAACAACTGAATATGCCCGTGCCACACAGTCAAGTTTTTTTTGTTTTTCTTTTAATTTGATGGCACCTTGTATTTTGTCACATTGTATAACATAATTATTGCCTAGCCAACAAGACATTGCAAACATTGTACGTTAACTACATTGTGTAAGTCATTCAAATAAACCACATTTATTTATAACAATGCACTGTTTTGTGCAAGCACAGAACTAAAAAAAAGTCATAGTCCTCGTTGGATTAGGGGAAATGTTATTCATGCCAAAAATAAAGTAATATGCACCAACAGCATAGTTAATAATTTAGAGTGAATAATTGGCTGGTAGGTAGGAAATTAAACAGGATATGCTATTCATGCATTTTTTGTATCCACACTAATTTCATTTGTCCAGGCTCATGTACAGAGATACGAAACATGAAATTATGGACATGTATCTCAACATGTATAATACCACGTTCAAAAAAAAGTCAGCCATCTTGTATTAAATCGCTAAACTACTGCATGTGTATATGTCCCAGATAAAGTACTAGGCACATGCAAAGAATGATCAGATTTGGTCAAGAGGGTTATGAAATATGACTTGTCTCTGTTTCGAACTATTTCGAATGGGAACTAATAAGAGGCTCCATGGTGCAAGACAATACAGACAATAGCATAATGCATGATGTTAGCTCACGGAATTAACAACTCCAGTTGAAGTGATAACAACTGTGTAACAAGTAAACAACTAGGCGGACCATGCAAATTACATTTTCCGTGATGCACTGGTGCAATCCCTGGGATTGCGGAGCTGTGCTTCAAGTTACTTTTTGTGCATATGTATGCCATTGGTTAACATTTTAAATTGATGTGACAGGACAGACATAGGTAGACGCCAAGAAGCCATGAAACACTAGGAACTTAGGAAAATATTAGCTACATCAGAATCAAATCCATTTCACCTGTTTCTGTTGCTCTTAATATATACTACAGGCAATATGGCGCCCTCATTAAAATAAGGCGGACTAGTTACCTACCATATTTAGCACACCGCCTCCACTCTTAACGGCTTTAATAGCAAAACTTGGGTCCACATTGGTTAGATCAACATCGTTGACTTTCATCAAGCAATCATTCACTCTGAAAATACAACAAAATAATATAAACTGAACCCATAGACATCAAGGTGACAATAACTATCTGTTGTAAAAAAAATTTTTTACATACACAAATTTATATATCTGAATACCATTTCGTCACTGAGTGTACCAAACTCAATCCGACAAGGGATAAATTCTTCAACACAATTGCCTCCATTTATCCCACATTTAGTATGTTGAACAAAACCCATAAATTCTACTTTATCATGGATCCTATATCTGATATTGCTCACTGGATTGGGTCATACCTTTATCAAATGTACAATTTTAGAAATACTTCGTTGCTGTATAATTTTCTGTATGTTTTTGTTTTACCCATACCTCCAGAAATGGAAGGTTGTGGTCAATAAAGTTATATCATGGAAGAGTCAAAGACTAAAATCGGCGAGTCACTCAATTTGATAAATACATAAACACAGTGACTTACCGAAGTCTACCATCAGCAATACTGCCTTTATCAACTCGACTCACATAGATTGAACAATCATCTGGACTTTGCGGATTCTCCTTGGCATTACCAATCTCAAAACCAAAATCACTGACATCCTCCTGAAAAAGAAACACAAGATGATTAAATCAATGTCTATGAAGTGTGGTAATATTGTCTGCGTTTGGAATTAAGAATCAGACTGAGAAAGAAACGCAAGATGATTAAATCACTTAAGTGTGGTAATAATGTCTGCGTTTGAAATCAAAAATCAGACTGAGAAAGAAACGCAAGATGATTAAATCCCTGTCTATGAAGTGTGGTAATATTGTCTGTGTTTCGAATCAAGAATCAGACTGAGAAAGAAACACAAGATGATTAAATCAATGTCTATGAAGTGTGGTAATAATGTTAGCGTTTGAAATCAAGAATCAGAGAAAGATAACATAAAGATCTATAAGCATCAATTATTAATGTCTATTTCCAATTCATTTTATTTCCTAGACATTACATGTCATGGTTGTTTTGCAATGAAGACATTGTGAAAGTGACAACAATGACTTATAATACAATAAGCATACACCCTGGCCAGATATCTTGGGATTTGAGTTATTACATTGCCAGCAATGCTGCCTTCTAAAAATACATCCCTACGTAACTGAGCAAGCCTTCGTTTATTCCACAATAGAAAGACGGCTCATTTTATAATTAGTTCCTCATTACCCCTGCAGGCAGTATTTGATTCTTCTAGACGCCATTAAAAGCTCTTTTCTTGAAATATGTAAATACGGTATATGATTACACTTTATCTTCTCATACCTCTGATACATCACATATGCAAATATATTCATTAAAACCAGTGCAGCCATATACAGACGTCATGTACTGAATATAAAATCACTTTCAAATCTCCTTTGATCAATAACCACTAAGGAAACCAAAATATTGAATATACATGCAGTTGTAGCTTCAGAAGAGAGAAACCGACACTGTCGAAGACGCTTATATTTTTAGTTAGACGTAGAATGTTCACTAGCGAGTGATATACCAAAAAACGCTCAGTGATTTTTAAAGTGAAAGAATTATGGTGAGTTTGTTATATATAGGATCCAATACTGATTTAGTCTTATTCATCTATTCATGAACTTGACCCCAAAGGACTGTCCAATTATCGTTCAATAAAAGGGCTGCACATAGTTTTAAGCGACCAATGAGAGCAAGTCATTTCAATAATGGCCAGCGCAGTTTTTATACATGTATGGTGAGAAAGTGAATAAATTAAATAGTAGTGGCCTACTAGAACTGTAGTTGCTTTAGAAGTGAATCCAAAAAAAAATTGCACATAAAAATATTATATCATGGATTATTAATATGCGACTCATTTTGAAAATGGAGACACATTTGTTAATTATGTGAGCACATATATTACTAATAGAATACATACAGTATATGTAATGTACAAGAATCATAACAAACTGACTGTACTGTATTATACATTGGTAGGTCCTTTACATAACGTATAGTCTGTCTACAAATGAGACTCATGAAGCATGGACATTGGATACAATAAAATAGAATGGACATAATATTGAAAAGTCTAAAGCTACTTCACAAGGTGCTAAACCATTTTAATGATAATGGTATTTTATACTTATACAAATTAACTTTAGAATTAATGTGATGATTTACGATTGGAATTGAAGTCAGAATTAACATGTTTAGTTCGTCTTCAACTCCATGAAGAGATATTCCTTACTGACATGACACATCTTTGTACTTTCCGAAAATACCAAGACATGTGACCTTTGGGGTCATAAATAAAACCAAAAAATAAATAAAAACAAAATAATAAGAGCATGTTCAGACTGTTTTTTAGAATACATTTACTTTGCTGTAGCAGGGCCATCTTGGACATCTTCAGCCTGCCCAGTTTGTGTTTGATATTTCACATCACAACTGCGGCGACTCAGGAAATTGTTACCAGTTCTGAGCAAAAGGAAGCCGAAATTTTAAGGAATATGTAAAAAGTTGTTTGGGTAATGTTTTCAAACATAAAATGCTAAAATGTAATAATAAATTTTATAAATTTTTGCTTACAATGAAGTTTATGCATACAATCACATGATACTACTTCCCAATACAATCACAAATAAAAATTCCCTCAAAGGCCTTTTTGTTGCCACCAGCCACTATTGAGACATTACCTTGGGCACCATGAGGTGTCAATGTGAATACACTCTTGGAACCATACTAGAAGCCTCTTACTAGACCTGAAAACATAATATGCAAAAGGGAGGCTTTAAAAAGAACAGCACCATCACCACCATCAGCTGCCCCCTCCCCCCTCCCACAAACTCCTGAAAGTCGTTACCTTTTGACACTCAAGCTCTACAGTTTCCGTTTCCCATTCGGTAGAATCTGCATCAATGGCTGAATCACGACTATGGTGTGCCACTAAGTGAGTCAAACTCATCCGTGATTGCTTCTCTTCCTGTATTTGAAGCTTTTCTCTGAAACAAGTAAAACTTTTATTAATATCAACAATTTATCCATTTATTTGGCGGAGGAAATTAAGCAGCTACGTCATTTCCATATTCATTCAACAAAACACTAGCCATAAATTGCATTACCTCTAAAATACATCAGACATCTAACGCTGTGACTACGAATGGATGAATTGTAAGCACTAAGTGCAGCATGTGTGGTCTGTTTTTGAATTCTTATTAGAGATTCATTCATGAGGTGTTTTCTCAGATGAGGTATACATGTATCCTCTATTCAGGTTCACCCCAACAAGAAGTGCACTTATCTATAGTTGTCTTTGTAGAGGATAGAAGGTAAGTTGAACTCCTATTAGAAAGACCCACTGTTTAATAATAATGAGATCGTTTTTCTGATAAATAGTGTTTACTATTAGATGGATTGGGCACTATGTGTCTAATGGCTCATTTTATAACTTTAAGGTGCTTTTTTTGGAAAGATAATGATATGCTACTGAACAGTTTAAACAAGCATTCTTAGTCATTCTTTCATCATGATGCCATTCAAAAATGAATAGAAATTTTCAACAAGGATGAAGAAGTGATTCTCTAACACTAAACAAAAGTGAGAAAAATGGAAGCAAAGAATAACATTGCAAGTGTACATGAAAACCTCTTTAAAAAACTGTTTGTTGCTATGTGTTGTCATGTCAACTGAAAGCACAGGAATTCCCAGTGTAATCATTTAAAGAGTGGCAATGTATTCTACTTACTACAAGATTTTTCAAAAGAAATAATCCACATAAAAGTCAAAATTGTTGTTGGGCACAGGAAGTCAAATCACTAGAATGAAGGCAAATTGTTGGCACAGAGTTCATCCATACGAAAATTAATTTACATGACATAAAGTGAACTCAAAAGTCAATGTATTTGATTTCATTCAACCCCAATCATCAAACTAGTTGTCATGACTACTGTTTCCTTTGGATGTATTAACCATGCGTTTTCAGACGTTCATGTTTTTCATTTCTTAACTTGTTGTCAACTTTTAGAATTGTTCTTAAGTCTAAATAAAGAAAGGAAGGAAGGGACTTTTTTTTTTTTTTAAATATTTTTGTGCCAGGCGACAGTTCTGGACATTGAATGTCACCGTTGTCTCTCCTGACTTTTTTTTTTTTATTTGTGCAAATTGCAAGTGCTAGTGCTGACACATAGTGCATTTTGCCACAGAAGTCATATTCATGTTTGGGAATACATGACAGGGCTGTGTGGCCATCTCTCTGTCAAATGGCAATTTTAATGCGCTATCCTGGCGTCAACCAGGCTCGGACACAAGCACCTGCGGACCTTAACCAAGGTTCCCCCAAAGTCGCATTCGTTAGTGAATGAATCTCGGCCAGTGGAATTGGCCTTCCCATTGAGTCTGTGGCACACTCACCCAGGGTAGGGATTGACCATTTGATGTTCAGCCTAAGGTAGGATTTGAACTTGGGTCTACTGATCATGAGTCTGGAGCGATAACCACTATGCTACCAGTGACCGGGACTTTGAGGAAGCCCCTCACTAGAGCCTACACTATACAATAACTCCCCAATCTTACACTGTACTTACTTGATAACTCTAAGTTCCTTCATTGCATCACTACGCTGTCTTTGCACATCATCAGAATCTCGGAGAGATTCCCCCAGCTCGCTAACTGCCCGGTCCCTCTGTCGCCTCAACTTATCACACATTTTTCTGACACTTTCACGTTCTAAAACAATCTTGTCACGTTCACTGAAAGCCCAATCACGGCGTTGTTTTGCAATGGCGGCATCCTGATTAGCTTCTCGTAACTCTTCTTTACATTTCTCCAATAGTTTATTCAAGCGCTCAACTTCTTTATACAAATGCTCAACATTACTTGATGCAGACTGCTGTCGCTGTTTCACATTGTAGCATTCCCGCAGGATTTGATCACGCTCATCAATGGCTTCTGTCCTTTCTTTACGTGCAACATCACGCTCATACCTATATTTCTCAAAATCATTCAGCGCATCGTCTCGCTGTTTCTGAACCTCAGCCTTATCACTTATTGTTTCATTACACTGTTCTTGCAGTTCCTGTTTCTGTTTTATGGCCTGGTCCCGGCTTTTCATAAGAGCAGCTATTTCAATTTTTAAAGATTTAATTTCATTGAGAGATGAATTTTTAACACCATCATACTTTGTCCTAGCATTTTTTTCTGCTTGCAGTTCATCCTGCAAAGCTTCAATCTCTTTGTGTACCACGTCTCGTTCACTCATTACACGCCGATACTCTTCGATCGCATCATTTCGTTCTAAAGTCACTCTAGCAAGATCTTTCTTTGCCAGTATCAGAACTTTCCTTGCGTTGTCCATTTCTTTCCTCACTTCATCTCTTTGCCTATCAGATTTCAATTTCCCTGCCCGGTATTGATCCCGCTCTCTTTCACGCTCACGTATGAGCTCTTCCCTATTTGTTATCATTGTCTTTAGTTTCTGTTTCATGTCATTGCTATCTTTCACAACTTGATCTCGTTCATGTTGCACTAGATCAAACTTTGAACGTAACCGTGACAACTCCTCCTCTTTATCTAAGTACCTCCTTCTAAGATCATCATAGCTCTTTTTCATTGATTCGTATTTCTCCAAAGCTGTGTCGTACATTTTATTTAGGACCTCGGAGGATCCTTTATGATTTATCATCTCGCGTAGCATCGAAAGTTCTCGCTTATCATCATTATGTAACTGCTTCAAGTCAACAATATCTTGCTGTGCCCGTCCCTTTTCCACTTTTAGATCAAAACACTCCTGTTTAAAAGAGTGTAACTCTCGAGTTTGGCGCTCACACACAGTAGCGTAGTTCGTACACTTGTGACTGATTTCCAAATAAAGACTGTTTAAAGTTTCCAGATCATTTTTAGCTTTCTGACATTCCTCCTTCAATCTATCATAATCTCGATTTGAGTGACTGTCATGACGATGCCTGGGTGTCATTCCTGGATCATCCATGCTCCCAACGCTTCCGACACTGCCGCTATTTTGCTGTTGCATGACTCTTCTTTTATAGTGATCCAGTTCTCTTCTAATCTGATCTCTCTCATCCGAGATGAGCTTTGATTCAGCTTTCAGTAGTCGCACGTTCTCTTCACAAAGGTCATGACTGCAATACTGCTGCGTGGGAGGCAGAACCAATCTTGGGCCTGTGAGCACAAATAAGAAAATAATCAGAACACACCAACAAAATGACAGACCCAATCAGATTTATTACATATCGAAAAGATAACTCTCATGGCTGTGTTTTTTGTCATTTTAAGATGTTACGATAATGAATGTCTTGCATTAATCAATATACAAGATAGGTTCCTCATCAATTACATGACTTGTGTTTCTGTGTTTTTCTGTCATCAACCAGGTCAGATCCAACAGTTCAGTGACATTTACTGGGATGTATTATTTCACATCATCTAATACATATGTTAAAATACTCTTACAACATTTTTGCACAACATTATTACAGAATTATTAATAATGCCACAAACTTTACTCAACTCAACAATCACACAAATGAAATATTCAAGACAAAGTATTGATTCAAAACCCACAATTCTACTTCTAATTAAATGACCACGTGTTCACGCTCACATTCTCAGATATCATACAGTAAGCAAACACATCACCAGCACATAGTAATGCTCATCCATTTTAACCCCTACTAGCTGTAATTATTTTGGGTAGTAGCAATTAATAACTACCGGTATCCTCTTTCGTGCAAAGCATGATGGGAAGAGAAGTACTGTATCATCTATTTAAAGAGCAACCTCAGAATATTTTTTACTGCTAGAAATGTTTTTTAGATTTTCACCAGCGGTGGATCTAAGCATACATGTATACCCACTTACATCCATCCCGTAGACAGATTCACCTGACAGTACCAAAGTAGTAATGATTTGCCGACTTTGAATGACAGTCCAGATCATTACCAGTCTCAGTGCCAAAATATTGTTAGTCACTGGATATATACGTCACATTTTTGTTGTTGAATGGTTGATTTCATGTTGGAAATACAATTGAAAATATAAGAATTCTGTGAATAGCATCAAGTGTAGTTTTCATAAGCATTATTATATAACAGATAAAAATTATTATTAGAAACCAATTAATTAAACAAAACATGGGGGTAGAAAAAATACTGTCAATATCCATTGAAGTAATGTTCTCCCCAGGATACGAAAAGCATGACAGTATCGTCACAGTGTAGCGGTGTACATGTCTATGATACGAAAAGCATTACAGTATTGTCACAGTGTAGCGGTTTACATGTCTGGGATACAAAAAGCATTACAGTATTGTCACAGTGTAGCGATGTACGTGTCTGGGATACAAAAAAGCATTACAGTATTGTCACAGTGTAGCGGTTTACGTGTCTGGGATACGAAAAGCATTACAGTATTGTCACAGTGTAGTGATGTACGTGTCTGTGATACGAAAAGCATTACAGTATTGTCACAGTGTAGCAGTTTATGTGTCTGGGATACGAAAAGCATTACAGTATTGTCACAGTGTAGCGATGTACGTGTCTGTGATACGAAAAGCATTACAGTATTGTCACAGTGTAGCGATGTACGTGTCTGGGATACGAAAAGCATTACAGTATTGTCACAGTGTAGCGATGTACGTGTCTGTGATACGAAAAGCATTACAGTATTGTCACAGTGTAGCGGTGTACGTGTCTGAGATACGAAAAGCATGACAGTATCGTCAGAGTGTAGCGGTGTACGTGTCTGGAATACGAAAAGCATTACAGTATTGTCACAGTGTAGCGGTGTACGTGTCTGGGATACGAAAAGCATTACAGTATTGTCACAGTGTAGCGATTTACGTGTCTGGGATACGAAAAGCATGACAGTATCGTCAGAGTGTAGCGGTTTACGTGTTCTGGGATACGAAAAGCATGAGAGTATCATGACAGTGGAGCGGTGTACGTGTCTGGGATACGAAAAGCATGACAGTATCATCACAGTGTAGCGGTTTACGTGTCTGGGATACGAAAAGCATGACAGTATTGTCACAGTGTAGCGATTTACGTGTCTGGGATACGAAAAGCATGACAGTATCGTCAGAGTGTAGCGGTTTACGTGTCTGGGATACGAAAAGCATGAGAGTATCGTCACAGTGTAGCGGTTTACGTGTCTGGGATACGAAAAGCATTACAGTATTGTCACAGTGTAGCGATTTACGTGTCTGGGATACGAAAAGCATGACAGTATCGTCAGAGTGTAGCGGTTTACGTGTCTGGGATACGAAAAGCATGACAGTATTGTCACAGTGTAGCGATTTACGTGTCTGGGATATGAAAAGCATGACAGTATCGTCATAGTGTAGCGGTGTACGTGTCTGGGATACGAAAACATTACAGTATTGTCATAGTGTAGCGATTTACGTGTCTGGGATACGAAAAGCATGACAGTATCGTCAGAGTGTAGCGGTGTACGTGTCTGGGATACGAAAAGCATGACAGTATCGTCACAGTGTAGCGGTGTACGTGTCTGAGATACGAAAAGCATGACAGTATCGTCACAGTGTAGTGATGTACGTGACTGGGATACAAAAAAAATGACAGTATCGTCACAGTGTAGCGACATACGTGTCCGGGATACGAAAAGCATGACAGTATCGTCACAGTGTAGCAGTATACAAGTCTGAGATATGAAAAGCATGAGAGTATCATCACAGTTTAGCGGTGTACGTGTCTGGGATACGAAAAGCATGACAGTATCGTCACAGTGTAGCAGTATACAAGTCTGAGATATGAAAAGCATGAGAGTATCATCACAGTTTAGTGGTGTGCGTAACTGAGGAGAACACCAAATGAAATCATAACTATGCGTAACCTTCAAGTCAACAGAAGCCATCAAAATATCAGTCATGATGAAATTTAATTTTTAAATGATTGACATATTATACAAGCACATAAATCCATAATTAAATAAACATAAACCCAAAAAACCTTTTCAAGTGTTACCATGGAAATATGTAGTTAAATTATATGATTGTCATCAAAATAAATTATAGTTTCACACTAAACCGACATGAGATAACTGGTTTCAATGAAAAGTTTTCAATATTTTTATCTAGAGTTATAAAAAATACATATTATTGACAACAGAGCTATGTGACAGAAGATTCCATGTTGTTTGGATGTGTACCACTGTACCATGCATTTCTATGCGCTCTGTGAGACCTGCTGTGGAACGCCTAATGAAGAGACGATGAAATCAACGAAAATCAAGGAAACAATTTAACTTTGAGGTAATATTCAACAACAAAATGAATGTATGTTGTACATGTAGAGTAGTATTATTACACTGTTCAGGAAAATCTCAACAACTAGCTCAAAAAGTTGTCGGAGAGGTTTCAACCATAGGCGGTGAAAATGACCTGATGTTTACTCCCAAGAATACAAATAGATGTTACATGTTCCTTTGCAAATGGTGACAAAAGTTGACAGCAGAATCCAAAGGTTAATTAGTTTGAAAAATGTTATAATATCTCAGTAATAAAAATTCTATTTCAGTGGGTAGTCACATCTGAAACCACAGACAATCAGAAGATAGAGTATACCTAATACTTCAAGAGCTTGGGTCAAGGTACTTCTATCCCTAAGGGCTTGGCGGATGGATCTGCAACTGGCAACTCAGCGGGAAGCACAAGACCCCCTTGGAGTAACATACTGTAGTTGATATCAGATACATCACATACAGTAGTGAAAATATTATATTTAATAAATCAGATTTAGAAAGGTTACGTCTGGGTAGTCAGCCCGCAGCGAGATTTGATAGTCTTGTCTCTAGCCACTGTATATGTATAGTCAGGACACAACGCAGACAGATGATTTATGCTAGTTTTGTGTAATTACACAAGTGACCATTTTACAATATTTATGGGCCATTATTTATCAAGAAATTACAATCCTGGTCACAAGGCATCAGGATATACTTCTATGATCCCAACTTTTATTAAATTTTTTTGAAGGTTAACTTTTTGCACGACAAACCTGCTCATCATTATTACACATGAAGGTTACGAACAAATAATAATAATAATAATAGTAATATTAATAATGGTCATGTGGTCCATTATTAATACAAGGCTTTCAAATGATTACTATTTGAGAAATAATCTAATCCTGTCCTTTTTCTGACACTTGACACACGCCTACATGTACATGCCATTTTCATTGTCTGAGTATGAGATAACAACATTACATTATTTTAGGTGAGTATGTTCATTGCTTAGTGCAAATCATTCTCTTTGTGACATTTTGAGTGCTGTATTTGAAGATTTATAGCAGTTATATATTTTAATTATGCAATTTCTCTGATATCATACACAAGCAATTGCCCATACTCTACTCTGGATATCCCTTGTTCAAGTCCCTGGATGGTTCCCAGGGCAACAGTCCACCCTCTATTTTAAGAAAACTTCCCCTTGTGAGTACCCTGGGCATTGTCGGGGAGAGTCCACTCAATATCATTCCTGAATTATATGTTATACACATGGCCTATAAAGTGACACTCATTTTGATTAAAGTGGCTCAGGTTTTTTAAGAGTATGAAGCATGTTTTGGAAGCTTCACCACTTTATTGCAAACTGTGAATTAATATTTTCTCACACCATATGTCTCTGTAACGACCAATGTGATAAAAGTAACAATTATGGAAATGTTTTGCTAGTGCATATTTATCTTCTTTTCCATAATATTTTCTGATTGCAGTAGCATTGAGACCAAATTTCCATATTATTGACAGTTAGAATGAAAAATTATGCAGACTGAATAAATTTTTAACAACATATTACGTAATGTGATTAATTATTAGATTTGAACTAACGAAACAAGATAATTGACAGTGCATTTGTTATAATGAAGTTAATCATTAAATTATGCAAAACTGATTTACTGAGTGAACTTGCTTTTACCCATTAGTGCTTGCTGTATTGTTCACACAGACCACATTGTCTGAAATGTTTGCAGTTCAAATTTCCCAGAATGCTTTGATGCAATCATGATAACTGCAGCAAACTGTTTAAATTTCACTTTTTGTGTTTTTCACAATTAAACGACATTCATCATGACGTTATCTTCAGAACCCAGACAAATTTTTGCTAGTACATAATTTCACGATTGTCTTGCGGAAGAAGA